GCATTCGAACGTCAGCGGCCAGGCAACTCTACTTGTAGGAACGTAAGTCCATCCCAATCCAATCCAAGATCACCATCAGAAAATAAACGTGTACAATTTAAAATAGTTTTTATTTTTTTGCCATATTCATACATGTTTACATACTTGTTTTGTTTTTCTTTATATTTGTATGGTTTTCGTGGTAGTATAAGCTTTATTTTAAAAATTTCCTATGGAATAATGTGTGAATACATAAACAACAATTAGTTGTCCTGTGTAGATTAAAAATCATTTGGGACTTTCCCCGTCAGATTCGACAAAATCAAATTTTTGTATACTACAAAAATTACGAAAATAAAATATTTTTCAGTGCAGAGGCAGTTAGTTTTGTGAACAAGCAGTGTTTTGAGGAATCGCGGCTGTAATTAAATGTGACGTGCCGATAGATACATTCCATCGTTGATATCGGAACTGTACTGTACAGTTCTTAAACAAAACAGTAAATAATAGAAACCTTTACAAAATAAAATTGCATCGAATTAATTTGCAGATGAAAAAAATTCGAGCTTAAAAATAAAGGCAAGAAGTACATTTTTTATATGCAATTTTAAATTTATACGTCGGCAAAATGATACATACAACTTTTAAATGCCTATGGACTGCTTTACACTGCTTTGTTAACGCCCGGGTCCTTTGATATATATAGCACTTTGAAGACAGCAGCGTACAACGCCCGGGTAGCTCAGTCGGTAGAGCATTGGACTTTTAATCCAAGGGTCCAGGGTTCAAGTCCCTGCTCGGGCGAGCCCTTTTTTTGTTCGCTTTGATTATTTATTTTCCTTGTTTTGTTAAATTTTAGATTTAAATTAGACCAAGTATTAGCAATATTCTGGGTCAGTTTTCAGTTCTTACAAGTCGTGCATAGCAGAGAAACGAAACTCGAAGAGAAATCTAACTGCGGACAGGCAAACATCTAATTGAACCCTCATGAAATTAGCACCTTTTATTTGTTTTTCCATTTACTGTAGACATCGTGGATATACCCAAATTGGGTGCTGTACAACGTTACCTCTGCTTTCGGTATCTACTACAATATCTACTACTCCACGGCTCTGTCTGTGAGTTTTTGATAGAGATTGTGTGTGTGTGCAATGTTTGCCAGACTCTGGCGGGAAAACGAAGAGCCCGGCTTTTATTGTTGCCCGTCGTTAAGGCACAGAGAAAAACAAAGTATTTGCTTTAAATGTCTGAAGCAAAAGAGATATTGAGAAATTAAATACGTTAAAAGTAAAGGCTTTATTCTAAAAATGTCTAAGATAAGAGCTATTTAGATAAGAAAATCAACTTAACTAAGTAGTTACCAACTTTTATACTACGATTTCATATCTTAAATAATAATATTATACAAACTTTATGAGCAATTGTTGCTGTATTTTTCTCCGTGCGACTGGATACGCTAAAGAATTTTTGACACACTTTCCTACCCCGCCGAAGACAAAGAAAACGGGTACATATAGTATGTACCGATACCAAATCGTGGCGACTCTGGACGATTTAGCATTGGACTTGGATGCTGGCTGTTTGTTGCCTTGCCGCCGCTGCCAAGTGAACTAGAAAACGAATGCGTTTAATTAGCATTCATTACGACGCATCATCAAATTGCCCCACCGCTCACGATGCAACAATAAAAGTAGGGACGAACGGCCCGAGAGGAGAAAACGTTTGGTGTACATGCTAATCTACAAAATAAACGCAAATATTTAGATGATAAACCAAAGTCAAGAGACGTTTTCAAAACTGTTCCATGACGTTGGATGATGTGCTGGGTGAAATTTCACCATTTTGATATTTAACTACTTTTATTTAAAAGAAACTATTGAAATAAGCCGCTTGCAAAGAACCAAGGTTATCCTGGTAAACTATGTTAAGCACTTCCAAAGCCTGCGAAATTATGCCAGTTGCCACTCACTTCAAAAAGTGCAGCACTTAAGTGTAAATTAATAACCTAATAACACGGTGCAGAAAGACATGAACACTATAATTTTAAATATATTTTAATAAATTTAGTAATACGAAAAATTAATTAATCAATATTTTTATACCCATGAAGAGGGTATTATAATATAATTCAAAAGTTTGCAACGCAGTGCAGGAGACATTACCGACCCTGTAAGGTATATATATTCTTGATCAGCATCAAAATTGACCAGACGACTCGATCTAGCCCGTCAAGGTTGTGACCATTAACAACATCTTACCTGTTGTTGGCCCGAAACTCTGTTCCGATCCAGGTAGCCATCGCCTAAAAAAGGAAAACCGAAAGGAAATATGGGTCATAAATTAAAAATGGCAAAAAAGAAAGGGACAATGGGTTTCCCTCGTTAGAACCAGCAAACAGCTTGCATTTCTTATTTCTCGACCGTTATGATTATCAAAAAAAAATGGTGAATGTCATATTCTCAATATTTTTATACCCTTGCAGAAAGTATTATAATTTTGGTCAAAAGTGTGCAACGCAGTGAAGGAGACAACTCCGACCCTATAAAGTATATATATTCTTGATCAGGATCACCTCCTGAGTTGATATAGCCATGTCCGTCTGTCCGTCTGTCTGTCCGTCTGTCTTTTTTTTTTATTAGTCTCTCAGTTTTAAAGATATCGAATTGAAACTTTGCACACACCCTTCTTTCCTTTGCACGCAGTATATAAGTCGGAACGGGATCGGCCGACTATATCCTATAGCTGCCATATAACTGATTGATCGGAAATGCCATAACTTTGGTGTTTGTAAAGATAGGAAGTTGGGATTTTCTATGGGTTTTATATTTGGCCAATTAATTCGACCTACCAAATTTCATAAGGATCGGACGACTATATTCTATAGCTGCCATATACATAACTGAACGATTGGAAATGCCATAACTTTGGTGTTTTTAAAGTTAGGAAGTTTGGATTTTTTATGAGTATTAAGAATGCATCATATGAATAATTTTGGAGAATATAATTTGCAGAATATTCTGCAAGGGTATTTCAACTTCGGCTCCGCCCGAAGTTAGCTTCCTTTCTTGTTAAGATTGCATCTGCCTAATGATGGTATGATAGATTACGAGAACATTAATTATGGTTTTTAGCAGCAAAATTTAATTTTCGTAATACGTACAATCGAGGGGTTATAATATAAAATGTACAATATATATATGAAATATAGATTTAGGGAAATCTATATAAAAATCGATTGATATAAATTTAAAACTTTGATTTCGTCATCGCCTTATCAAATTGGGTTTCGATCGGACGAAATCGAAGTTTAATCAGATTACAAGTAACTCAGAATAAGCTACTAAATTAGCTATAACGTTTCTTAAAATTTTAATCAATTAAACTTTTTACTTTCTAATATATTTGCGGAACACCGATGTGTCCAAAGCAAATGAAAGCTAATTAAAATGTTGCCTGATAACAGCTCTCATAAGAAAGTTGGCAAATAATTACACTTAATGGTGTCCTTTCGATGGCTAACTGTGTAATTATCAATGCAACAAATTTGAATTTAACGAGCGCATCAACACCAGACTCCGCCCACAGCCCTAATCCCAGCCCCGCTGAATGGGCTCCTTCAGGACCTCTCAAGGACCCCAAGTCTCCCCAGAGCGAGGATTTTCCGCAGCAAAGCGACGGTCTGATTAATGAGGCTTTAAATATCCCACTTTGATTTCATTCTGAAAACACGCGGAGCGTTCTCTTCGCCGCTCCTCCGACAAAGAAGTTTCATTGACTCTCAGCTCGTTGGAGGCTACGAAAGGGGGAGTCACAAAGGAAAATAGATATGTATATATACGTATATATATAAATAAGGAGAGCTACGCTGGCCTCGTAAATTGCCGAGTGAGCTGAGGTCCTCCTACGCACACACACGAATATCTATTGGACAACTGAGCACTGCTGGACACAGAGTCCACAAAAGTCTACAAAAGAAATGAGCTGGATGTGCTCAAACTCTACACGTACAAACACACATTGTTGTGCCCTGGAAAACTTAGAGCAGGAGTTGCTACACTCGAAAAAACCAAGGAAATGTAGAAGAAATTATTCTTCCATGACATGTTCCTAAAATTATAATAAAACGATAAAAACAAAAGGTTACTAAAAATTATATGTTTTATCTGTAAGATTCCTTTTAACCAAAACTTGAGTCAAAATTGTGCTTACCGAATTTAAAATGCCTGCTAGTTTCTGCCTTTTTAGAAAATAAGTGGCTAGAAAATGGGTTTAGGTAAGAGAAATAATTTTAACAAGGGCTAAATCTTGCTTAAGAAAATGTCACGATTGCAACAGTTTTGATAGTTTGTTAATGTTGTAAGAGAAAAATTTTGACGGACAGCTAAATGTGTATTGGTCAATGTTGTTTAATTATATTTTTTACTAGAGGCTGTATTGTTTAAAAAGTGATATTAGTTTTTAAAACAAAGTTAAACTTTTTTCCAAGATCACCTTAAATCAGATTAGCACATTTGTATTAAAATACACTTCGAAAATATAATTTAAATTTATTGTAATGCTAAATAGTATTTAATATAATTTAACGGAATTATTTAAAAAATAATTTAATTGGAATCTTTAAATACGGGTATATTATGCATAAAGAACGCTTTTATAGCTCAAAAAATGATAAAATGAACAAACAGTTAAGCGAATAGAGGTTTCAATAGTGCATGCTTTTCTCCAAGTGTGATAGAACGGCTCTCTTCTGCGGCCTGGTTCTCTTCGCGAGCTCTCCACACGACGTCCCTGCCCCGATTCTCTCCCTGGAGTTACGTGCTTGGGCCACACACAACCCAGATCCAGACCCAGATCCAGATCCAGGGGCGGGGAGGGAGGCGAGGTGGCGGAGGGAGAGCGGGCCGGGCATTATGGCTGTTATCAACTTTGGCAAAAAACACCGCTTACCGCTCGGCGGACGTCGACTGCGCTGAAATGGTGAGCTGAGCTCACTTCAGTTTCAGTTTGAAATTTGACGCCGAGCGCGGCGGAACGTTGAGCGTTCTGCTCACAGAAAAAGCGGCCATCGCCCGCCGCTGCTTCTGCTGGCGTCGCTGCAGCAGAGGCGGGCAGAGCAGCCATTATCCTGCAGGATGCTGCGACCTGATCCTGATCCCAGGGCCATGCCATGCAATTAATATGGCTGCGAATCGAACGAAAAAAGAACTGGTCAACAAAAATCTGGAAACATTCCAAAAACTCGGTGCAAAAGTGTTGAAAATCAAGGAAAATTTAATCCTGGACATAAATTCAATGTACAACTTTGAAAACATTTTGTAAAAACGGAATTAAGGCTGCAATCTTCTGCATATTCTAAACAGGTACGTTCTAAAGTTCAAAGTTTATACAAGTATTAATACCTTAAAAAGAAAATATGCCGAGCAAAAGTCACCAGATAGTTGTACGCATGTGCATCAGTAGGGGGCAGAGTGGGCGGTCTGGGGAGGTGGCAGTGGCACAGTCAATTGCCGTTTCCAAAGCCTGCGCCTGTCCTCGTTTTGACTCGTCGTCGCCTCTGTATAAGTGTATCTGTGAGCTCCGTTTCGAGAGTGTGGTAGTGTCGCGAGCGCCCGGAAATGTGCTCCTTTCAACCACTTTTCATTTGCGCAGAACACAACCCCCTCTCACCACTCTGCAATCCCAAAAGTCGGGCGCAAAAAAGAAAAAAACCCGAAACCGAATTTCAACCTCGTTGTCGCGCTATCAGCAGCAGTAGCAGCAGCAACAACAACCACCCCCAGGCAACCCAACCCCCTTTTCCCATTTCCCGTTTCCCTTTTCCCGCTTCCCAATTTCCCCTGCTCCCGGTGGAAAACACTTGTCCCGCCATTTAGTGCATGGGTTAAGTAGTATACCGAAATATTAGTGGCTGGGCCGCAGAAGGCGGCGACAGCTGCTGCAGGCCACCCACCCGGAATGGCAGCGGGGGGAGGGGGCCAAGACGATGATTATCGGCTCCAGATACGCCAAGTGGCAAAGTGTTAAGCCTCAGGCTGGGAACGGGATGGTGATGATGGTGGTGACCCAACCCGAGATTCGCTGCGGCGGCTGCAGTTAATGCGAGTGCGTACATAGCAAGCTTAAAATACATTATATACATTGGGAAAAATATACACCTTTGTCACGAAAAAATATCCCCTAGGAATCTGATTAATCTGCAGATTAAACTAATAAACTAATTAATATGAAGATGGAATTTCTTAATCGAATTTTTTAAATGGTGTTTGACTTTGTTTATACCAACTAATAATTTATTTAATAGTTTATTGATTATATTATATTTTCATTCAGATATGTCTGGATTTAACTGCTTAACTAAAAGCTGCTTATAAATTAATTATAAATGCCAAAGTCCAGAAATCTCTTAAAAGTATTAAATAAAATTGGCAGCACTTTGAAAATACAAAATGTATACTTCTTTAACAACTATAAATTAAGCTACATTTCTATACTTGTTTTTCCGTCAAATAAAGTTCTGTTTAATGACTTTCGCTAGGCGGTAAACAAGATGACTCAGCTCCTTTTTCTGTGTCGATGCATTTGAACTTACCCCTTAATGTGGTGCTTCTGTGCAAATTTTGCGTGGGGCTGCGCGTAAGGTGCGTGTCATCCGATTTCCAACACGGGATGCGCAGCAATATGGAACTGCTTTCAATTCGGGAAACCCCCCGAACAATTTCCCTTTTTCGGATAAGGTCAAAGTGTTAGAGAAAGCGGCTGCATTCGAAAGCTAATAGTTTTTGGGATGTTTTCCGTTTCTACCAATTGTTTCTTTGCTCATTTAGTATGCAAATGGTTCGAACTAAAACCGGCAACTGACTAATAACCAAATGAGCTTTAGGAAAACCAAAGTAAATAAGAGTTTATGGCTATTTTATGCATTCGTGGACTGTCGGGCAGCGGCTTTTTGTGGCTTTTGACAAATTCGGAGACCTGTTCGTTCGTCTTAAAGTTTGGATGATATCTTTATGAAGGTGCTGTGCCAACAAGTTCGTTTGTTTTTTGGTTGGGCTTTGACCTGAATCTGAATCATAAATTCGCCTGGGCTGTTGTATAATTATTCAGCATGTCCACATGGCCTACAAAATGCATGCAATGTTGTCTCAAATTCCGCTGGGCAATTAAAACCTTTTACAAGGGACCTAAGCTGGGAAATGTTTGGTGAGGGGTGTGCCTGAGATTAGATATGAATTTTTAAGAGTTTGCATTGGGAATGTTCCGCTCATAAATATGAATGAGTGGAGAAAAGTGTCAAGCTTTTTCAGATTCAAATCTGTTGACTCTTAACGAGAAGTTCCACAGTTCCACAGTCCACAGTTCTGTGTCAATAGGTCACCAAATAATTGAGGCTATGTTGCATAAGTCATTTAGTTTTTTTTTTTTTTTTTTTTATTAGTATTTAATACTGTCCTTTGTGGACAATCAATAAATGTGGTGGTGAGGTACTTCGCTTATGGTTTTTACAGATGTAGTGGGATAAGTCATTTAGTGCAGATACGAAATTAAAATCAAACAAAAAATCAACGCTTATGCTTTGACAGATAAATTAATATTTTTCTTTATTCTCTATTCATATCTAATGAATTTTACATTTTTTATTCCTAATTTATTTCACAAAAATCCCACAATAAAAATGGCAAGCAAACAGCCCTAAAATTCAAACATTGAAATTAACGAGTCAAACCGGTAGTCTGCTAATTGTTTACAATCTGAATTCTTACGTCAGAGCTAGCCACTATAGGCTGTAACAAACTTTGGAAATCGTAACCTTCCATTTTAGGAACCCCAAAAACCCCCGGAGAAATAACCTCAAAATCGACCTTGCCAAATGCTACATTTTTTATGAACATATTCCCTTATCGAATTCCTGATATTAACATACCCTTGGTACTCCATCTCAAACGGCCTATTCAACCCCAAGAGTACGTAGAAACAAACAGAAATGAGCTGGGAACTTATTCCACCAAAATTGGGGTAACTGCAGTATGACATATTTATTGGAATTTCATGCAAATTTTCAAACAATCAGCCAGTCGAGGGAATGCAGCTGGCCTGAGAACTTGCACTTTATGAAGTGCACAGTGAGCGGAACTCGAAAATATCAGTGTCAACTAAAATCGGTTATGCACTTTTCTACTAACAAAGTATCTCAAGCCTTAATTGGTACTTCAGGTTATAGGTAATACATTTTTTTAAATAATTTTTTTTCTAGCTTATCTATTTAAATGTTAAAGTTGTAGCCAATATTGTTCTTAAATACTTAATTATTAGAGAAAAGATGAGTTATTTTGTTTTCGCTATTCGTAAACTCTTAATTTATATATAAATCTGAAAATAATTAAACATTGTTATGTGATGTACTTCTCTGTTTGCAAACACTTTGGCCCACGGTTCTCTTCGCTTTTTTCGCCACCTGGGAGCGCATTTCTGTTGCCCGCGCATTTTCATTAAGCCCAGTGAAAAGATAAATTAAGACACTAAAAATAAATAAAATGCAAAAGGAAAGAAAACAAAACAGCGAGGAACGCGAAAGGAAGGCGCGTATTTTTGTAAACAACAAACAGACACCGACAATATCGAGTAGAATAAAACGGAGATGCAGACCGGTATGCGAGCCCCATCCGATGGATGTGGGGTAAAGGCACCGATAGCGATACTCATACCAATACCCTTTCGGATTCGGATACAGATGTGCAGATACAAAATGCCGCAAACCTGGGCAGGTTCAAAATAAATGCAAAAAAAACAGACGCGAACCGCGAACCGTTTTCGGAATTTCTTTCTGAGTTCTCTCTTCGCATTTCTACCTGCCTCTCGATTTTCGCGGCGAATAGCAAGAAGGTGAAGTAGCAATAATAATATTATTCAGTAAACCGAAACAACCTTGGCCTCCGAAGCTCCGAGCTCGATGCAAACAACTCAACATGGCAGTGGGGTACAGTGGGGCAACGGTGATTGAATAGTGACGCGCGAACTCAATGCACAGTGACACTTGGCACTGGCCAACCAAGGTAAATGATCTGCCTCCGCCCCACACCTCACCTCATCCCTCCCCAGGCAGGCACTTTGATTTATGTGCGAAGTTGTCTTCATGTGCTAAAAGCAACATTGCAGAAATTTAGCCAGTCATTGCCCCTTTGTTGCCGCCGTATCTGTTGCTGGATGGTCGATGGTTCATGGGTCTGGTCAGGGAATAGGTTAGCGGATGGTGAGGGGAGATACACTGCAGAAAATATCTTGTGCCCATTGCCATTATATTCCATTGCACTGTACACTGTACTTCATATTTAGAGGGCTTGCTTTTTCGATCCTGATAACATTTTGATTAGATTACCGCATTACCAAAACATTATTAGTTATATACCATTTAAATTGAATTCATAGACTTCAATTTCACAATTTATTCAAATTGTAAAACAAGTAACAAAATTAATATATAAATTCAAATTAAATTAAATTAATATAAATGTTGAATGTTGAACAGTACTTAATTTGCGATTTACTTTAATATGATTTCAAATTATAAGTGGATGATATAAGTGTCTTTTCACAGTTGATTTCTTTGAGTGCACAGGTGACTGGGGAAGATACGCAATCTTAGCTCTTTTTTTTTACAATTTTCGCAGTACTTCCGGAGGGGATTGCTCTTTGGCTTTCTCTTTGTGTCTTCCTACTGTTATTGCATCTGAAGGCAGAATGTAACCGCCTGATGAGTTAGAAACTTTCGCACAAAAGAACAAATTGATTGAGTGATGTGGCTTACAAAACTGCGTTATTAGGTTAGCTGAAACTAATTAATGGACTTCCAAAGCCTGCGGCTCGATTGAAAATCGTTTATGTGTGGCTATCAGCAAACAAAAATAGCCAAAGAATTTTCAAAGGCAGCCAAATAAAATATCTGACTCGCTCATACATCATACTTATCAACAAAGATAGGGCAGAGATATCGGGGGAATACTTTGTAAATTAATTAATCAATGTTCGTAGGTAGCAATGAAAATACAATCAAATAAGTTTGTCGAACTAAAGATAGAATTTAACAACAAATATAAAAGCCATCATTAATGTTATTTGTGTGTCTGAAACATTTTGTAAAATGTGTTAGAGAATAACAGATTAAAAAGATGTATATTAATATATATATAGCCCAAACTATTGAGATAATCGAAAACATGTATTTTTGAACTATTAAAATTATAATAATTGGGCACTACATTTCGATTGCAAAGAAATACATAAATTTTGTTGATAAAACACAATAACTAACTTTAAATGGGTCACATAAAGTTGTTTGCTATGGAGAATCCACTCTCTAATATGCATTTAAAAATAAACAGCCAATAAATATGAGGCTTGAATTTAAATTTAGAGCATATTAAAATTTAATGTGTTGAGTTGTCATAAGGAGAAACTGTCCAGATGACTACGACTTGAATCTTGAAAACAAAAACGTCTAAAAATATAGCTTGACGAATACACTATCATTAGCATCTCGGCATGACTGTACACAGTGCCCGTGAATTGTAAGTTTCGTTAACTGAAAACGCTGTCGAGCGCAAAATCCTTCGCTCGCTTGGAGGCAATAAATTAACGATAGATCTATTATTTCCATAATATATTTAATGTGGCCAAATATTTGCACTGCATTAGCGAGCTTTGGGAGGCCGTTGAGCATGTATATTTCCTGGCAATTTTGCGTTAAGTGTGAGCCTCTGACCACGTGAAATCAATTAGCGTTTCGTTTCTGATTCGGGGGTGTTGTTGGGGTGATGTAATATATTTTTGCAAATTTCTATTTGGCAAGACGGCGTTAATTTGGCCAAGGTGCTGAAATGTGGAGCACTTTGCCGCGGACTTCAGCTGGATGATCACAGAATTAAACGCTACTTCGACCCAGCTGCCTTTTGCCTGCCTGCCTGCGTGGTCCTTCACCCCGATTCGGCCTCTCTTAAAAGTCCTTGCTACCCCTTGTGGATTGTGTGTACACATTTGGAGAGCTCTCTCTCCCTCCCTCTCTATCTCTCTCTCTTTTCAAGGCAGGGTAATATCCTGAGCAGCCATGTTGAGGCTGCAAAAAGGACAACAAGGGCTGCAGACAAAGAGGCACCGCAGGCAGACAGAAAGAGATGGAGCATCAGAGGGTGTGCAAAGTCAAACGATTCGCCCTCCTTCCTTTGTTTACGCAAGATTTGTTGCCATTAAGGCCCTAATCCGGGGGATTTCTAGGGTAACCCGACGGCCCCGAAAAGGTTTTTGACTTTGCCAGCTTAGTACTGTCTAAGCCTGCCGTTTAGTGCTAATGAATACTGCTAAAAAGTCATTAATTAATTGAAATTTCATTACAGGACACACGAACTACAGCGGAGCATCTGCCACATCTACCGCATCTGCCCCATCTGCCCCTCCTCCAGCCATTACTCAGCAGTCTTAGCAGGGCTTAGTGCTGAATCATCGCCACCGTCGTTACCGATTCACCGATTTGGAGCAGGGACACCAAGAAGGCTTACGGTGGCGCCCAACTTCCACTGGCGACAGCGATCCAGGTCGGGAGCTTAGCGGGGCGACTCGCTGATTGATTTCCGTGCAAACAGAAGACCCAGAAGCTAGATCTATCATTCATTAACTGTGCTTCTTGTCTATCCAATTTCCAGACCTCGCACCTATTTTATCGACGCGAAGAAAGTGCCGTAATCCGCGGGCAATCAATTAGATACCAGCGTCCTAAGCACTCCCAAAGACATCGCAGCCGTATCTTATCTTATCGCCGCTTCTTCCGATAAGGTCGGGCACTACTTTCCGTCCTCTGTTTTTTCGGACTGCTTCCTAATCTCGGGCCCCTCGGTGAGGTCTTGGCTTCAGTTGGTTTCCAGAGGCGAGGGCGAAGACAACGCGGAGCTGGCCACTCCGGCGCAAGGGCCTTCGTGACTTTCGGGACAGGAACACGGACTGAAACACGGACACGGACACGGAGACCTCGCGAATGCCTCCATTTAATTGGCAGGCCAGGCGACGGCGAGCTTTGTAATCACATTTATGGGTCATTCCATAATTTCCAAAAGGAATAAAGGAAACGGTTGTATGGTTGCCAGCCATCGTCGCATCACGTGTGGCACGATAAATATAATTTACCCGAGGCGCATGTAATTGCCGCGCTGCCTAAATTACCCCGCCTTGAACACACACATTGTATATGTTTATTAACATTTTCACTTTTTGCAGCCGTGATTGCTCACCTCCGTTCATTTCACCCATGCGACGCGACTGTTCTCCTTCAGTTTGCTCCACGTCTACCCTGTAGATCCGAATTTGTTTTACATTAGCTTTAAGGACAAATTCGGTTCTAGAGAGGTTTGTGTGGTCCAATATCCATCGATAAATCAAAAGAAGCCGGAATCAAGTGAAAAAGTGAATTTGAACATTAATTTAATAAGTGAATAAATTGTTCAAAACAAAGTGAAAACGATTAAATTAAGTTACTCAGTAAATTACCATTGAATCGCCATTATAAAATAAAGACTAGGAACATTAAGCATCTGAAATTAAAAATTTAATAATTAACTTTAATAATAATTAAATAATTCTTCCTATTTCATAATGACTCACCCAAAACACTAATTACTGTTGCCAACTAATAGATTTTCATTGCTTACTATAAAATCCATGATAATGAATTGCTGTCTTGACACAATTTTTTGGCTTACTTTTATAGATAAGAGTGCCGGGTATTAAGGTTTCACTTTTCATTGCCAATGATTCAGAGACTAGGGAATTTTAAAAATTCATTGTTCATGTTGACAGCTCAGTTAGATTATAAAACAACAAATGTTGATTTAATATAGTGATGAGTTATAAAAATAACTATCAACAAAAGGAAATATTTGTATTTAGAACGTAAAAATCCTTAATATATTTATTCAAGAAAAAAATGTTTTAAGATAAGAACACTGTTGTAAAACTAAATAGAAATTTTAAAACTGTAAATAATTATTTTGAATACGTATGTACATGTCTTATAAATTATGAATCATTGAAATCAACACAATTTTACAGTTTAAAAAAAGATACGATATTAGAGATAAAGTTACAGATAAAAATTTTTTTTATTATTTGAAGGTGGTTGAAAACGTGTCAATGGAATCAAAGCGGAAAATAAAATACATGTTAAATACTTACAATATGTAATATATATGAAATATTATTTAACTTAAAATTTTGTAAAACTATGTTTAAACATTAATAAAGACTTTATGTTGTGCTAAATAAAACCCAATTTTATGGATTCCTACTGAGAAATAATACTCTTATCAACAGCCCACCAGTGAGCGGTTGTCTGCAAAAATGTTCCCTTTGAACAATTGAATTAAGCACCGCATTTAAAATTTCTCGCTACCGGACATGGGACACTTTGACGTTATTGCTGAATTCTTTCGGTTTCATTTATATTCCTGCCGACTTCAATTTATTCGATGTGTTGCATGAAATTTACATTCTCACAATTTTGCATACAAATTGCCATTACGATTTCGCCAAGGGGTGTGAGGGCGGTTCCCATTTGCTTGGGTGTGTGGCGTATCTGTGTGTGCGCCTCAGCAAAGCATTTGGGTCAAGTCGATTGTGTGGCGTCGATTTCTGGTCGTGTTCATGTGGGGTGGATTGGCGAAGTTTGCAGTTTTGCGAAAATGGCCATGCACTTTGCCCAATTTACATAGGACACCACTTGAATCACATCCGTCGCCCATTAAGACCGGATACCTTTTTGTTCCCGGAAGAAATTCCGTCCGAGTAAGCAGGGCACTGCCATCGGAAAATCCACCAAAAGTTTCCTCGAGTGCTCAGCAATGGTGACGACACTGGTGAAGCTCATAAAGATATTAAAATTGTCATTAATCACGTACAAATATTCTGATAAGGTTCCATAAAATCTGTCTTCTATCTTTTCGGTATAAGACCATATTTGGTGTAATTTTTTAATAACCTTGTAATTGTAACCGTTAAAAAACTATAAGAAACCCTCAGTAAAATTAAAAGAAAGATTATATGTTTGTTTAGTTTCTGTTGGAAATATAAATTAAGCTAATATGCTCTAAATAAATGCAACGTTTTAGCTGCATTAAATCAACCATTTGGCATATGTATGGTTTTTTCTTAGGTGACCTTTCTGCTTGGAAAATCCTTACATATATGCTTTTTGATCTTTTGAATATGGTTCGCTTACACTGGTAGCCAAATTATTTTGATACGACAGATATTGTACGTCATCGATACTAAGTCCGCCATTTTGATATTGGCTGAGGGTGGATCAAAATATTGGCAATAAATTATTTCCTCAAATCGAGTATGTTCGGACGAGTTTCTGGTTAATGCACTATTTTGCCACCACAATTCCCAAATGCTAAGTGTACATCTTATCTTGTTAACTACATTTTAGGGATTTGAAAATATCAACAAACGATATTTTTGTTTAAATAAATTGAGATGTTATACAAAAAATGTATAAATGTGTCAAGTAGATTAACTAGAAATTATATCCCTTAATATTAAATCATTGTAGTTCTAACTGCATAAGCCTTTTAGAGTATTATTTTTTGCTATTATAGACTTTTTCCTATAATCTTAAATCTTGACTCTTTGCCGCTCCTAAAACGATTAAAACTGATTTTATTAGCACGAAATTGATCTTACTTTTTTCCACGGACTTTTACCCATATTTTCTTATCTCGCGTATATCTTCTCGCGAATCGTGCCGTACGATACACGGTTGCGCCTCTCGGTGGGTTGGGCGGTTAAGTGGGACTTAATTACACAAAATCTTGGGTCAATAAGTATGCTACAAAAATAGAGTTTTATAGTCATTAAAAACAGAATTATCCCAACAAGCGAAAATACACACTTAAACTGCAAAACTATCGATAGTGGTACCATAGGTGGTCCTCAAAATACTTGTTTTTTACGGTTATAGTTTATATTTATTTTTTGACACATTTATAAAATAAAATAAAATTACTGTGCTTAGAAGAAGAAAACAAAGAATATATTTATAAAGAAAGATAAATGACTGATAAAATAGATTTCCATTCGAGTTTTTTTAAGAACTGCATACAAAATAACAAAAAACGTCGATATTTGCCCAGTCCATGCACTATCGATATGACCATCGCCTGTTTTGTACTATACGATTACGCAAAATCTATAGGACAAATCATTTTAAAATTTTGTTACTAATTTGTTTAGGAATTCGCCTTTTTTGTATACTTTTTATTTTACCCTAACAAATTATCCTACATTTTTTAGCGAAAATCGGTTTTTGACTTCAAAGTGCAGTTAATAGCTCGCAAAATTAAAAAAAAAATTGATTTGAATCGTGATTAAAAACGGATGCCGGAGCCCAAGAATTTTTGAGTTTTGTCCGTGACCAATTTTTTTCAAAATCTTGTGCTGAAACCTCTTTTAACTAATAGACATAATATAATATTTTCATTACGAGTAAGGGTAATCGTGAATTCGCTTAAAAATTCTTTCGGTCTTGCCAATTTTTCCCATTCTTGATTTTCACGTTTTTTTATTTTGTTTGTAAATCTTATTTATTTATTACTTAAACTTAATTTTGTATTTTAAGAAAAAGTATTTTTTTATATGTTTTGTGATTGATTTTTGTTTTAAGCTTTAAAAAAATCTGTAATTTTCAAGTAATGTTATGTTGTAAAAAAATAAATATAAACATTTTTTTTATTTTAATTTTTTTTTTAATTTAAAGCAAAAGTAAACGAAATTGGGAACGTTTTTCCTATTTTTTAAATCACATATTTAAACAATTTTAAAAATAGGAAAGATATTCCAGTTGTTTTTACTTAAGAAGTTGACCTAAGAAATTAAAATATCGTTTTAGGTCCAAAATGTTAACAGAAAATTCTTAGGAAATATTCTTAGAAGAGCATAGGCTTAAATTATATAATTTATTTTTAGTTTTGGGTAGACTACACTGTTAAAAAATTGTCATATTCAAAAATATTAAGATGCCGCTAGTGTACTGCTTGTAGGTAAGCAGTGCGCATGAATCTTACATTTGACATTATTGTCTGGATTGTGTACTAGCTATAATTGAATTCCTACATTCTACATTGAACTGACATATTAATAACGCCGTTAGAATTTGAGTATAAGAGTTATGTATAATATAAGTAAAATCATATGGGCAAGTGAAAATTATGAAAAGCCGCAAAAATTCAGTTGAATGATCTGGCAGCCCTCTGTTTTACACACAAGTAGACCGCTTTCCACAGAAAAAGGATCGTGGCTATTTGATCCACGCCCCAAGGCACCCACAGTAACACATTGCACATGTGAAAATCGTGTCGGAAAGGGTATTTTTGCGAGAAACAAATTTAATGTCAGTACTGTGTGACCACCTTGGGCTTTGGCGCAATAAAAATCCACCCCAACCAAGCAGACATATGGCAAAGATATTTCCAATTGAAATTCAACATTATTCGGTTTAATCCTGTCTAATGTCACCTGAAATCAGCAAAATTACTCAAAAATACGACTTTCTGAATAGTCAGTCATCATCGGTTTAATGTCTTTATAATAATATTTGAAGTTAAGGATGTGGTCTTGTAATAATTATTGTAAGTGTAGTTGGCACAAATAGCACAGACTTAGAAATCTGATCCAATCCAATACCACAGATTCAAAAAGCTGGCACTATTCACCAAAAAGAAATTAGAAGATACAATTTGAAAAAGGATTCCAACATTTTTGGCGCAGATAGCACTGAAAAAAACATAAATATCATGGTAGTCTTTAATTAAAAACATTAATGAAAACTTATATCTACGAGTATCTCTCGGTCTGGCTTGGATGCACCTATCGAGCCGTTAAACCTCAAGGTTTGATGTTTCCCAATCAACTAAACAAAATAAATTAAATAAAGTAAACACATCATTGATACAAAAATTCTGCTACTCGCTGCTGATTAACCTCCACTGCTGTTGATGAAACACCACTTTGTTGAAAACTCATGTTGTTGTAGTTGGTGGGTCGATTTATTGGCGTCTCGTATGAAATTTGTTTATTTTATTACGACCCTTAACTAATAATGCACTCTAATGCATCCTACTAGAAAACATGTTTTTTTCTCTTAATGTCGGAGACGTTGAAAAAATCTCATTCAGTTTCATTATAATACATTAAAATTTTCACATAACACATTTTTATTTTGTCTTCTTGGCAAAATACGAATCAAAAACCAACCCACAGTGGTCAAAACGATTGTAGGAAAAAATAGTGTTGGAAGTGTGGGTGTATCTATTTTTTGCCGGAGTCTGAGATAGAAGCACGTCAACGAAATAATCAACAAAAGGACATAAAAAAGGCAAGGGACTAAGCGAGCGGCAGAAATGACATTGGCGGCTATGTGAACGGAATAAAATTTCATCAAAAATGCCACTGTCACAGACACACAAACTGCGAAGCGAGGGTAAGAATTGCAAATGGTTGAATTGCTACTTTCATCTGGGTCCTTTTTGGATTCTGTTCAAGGGGAACTTTCACTCTGGCGCCGGTGGTGTGGATTTGGTGGCTGAGTGGAGAGGGTGGCTGACGAGGGAGTAAGTGAGGACGTGAGGGATGAGGATGAGAGCACACATCATATATGAGGATTTGCGGACCCTTCAGGCCTTCTCCAGCTGCCATGGCCATGTCAAGGGGCTGTCAGTAGCAAAAACAAAGACTTCGCATGGCAGCCATGATAAATACACAGCCAAAAACGGAGCCATGATTTGTCCTAAAACCAGGTAACGTTCTGTAAAAACAAATTAAAACTTATGCTGTTTTTAAATCAACAACATCTTTTATGGCTTTAACTTATCGACAAGACAAGAAAAGGGGTCTGAAAAATGTAATCAAAGATTTTATTATTTCAAAATCCGTTTATTTTTTGTTATGGTAATGTACTTGAAATTCGAAAGGTTTAACTTATATTGGAAAAAAAGATTAATGGATATAATGAATATAATATATTAATATAATACTGAAAGTCTATGAACAACTTTGTTCCTTAAATTTGTTTTTTTAAGTACAACCGCTCTTCTAACGTTAATAAATAAAGTTTAATTGTATAATTTTGTTAGACCTGATATTATAATCTTGCAGTGCACAAAATGGGGATCCCAAATTTACAACGAGGAGGTTTATTTCTCTACACCCTACTTTTCTGAGTAAAAGGTGTTGACGGCTGTTTCACTGGCTAAAATTTAAAAAAGTGTCCACGATTCGGGTATCTTTCTTTCAACGCGAATACAAATTCGTAAGCTGAACGAAAAGAAACGGACTAAATGAAACGAAAAGAAAAGCATTTTGCTGCATTGTGCAGTTTGATTAATGATCGAATGTCAATTACGGCAGATACTTTTGCTGTTCGGCAAAAGAACTCGCAAAAATAAATGGAATGAGCATTAGGATGAGGGCAGAGTATTTTTAGCATTTGTTTATGTGAGTGGGATTAAAAAATAAACCAGGCAGAAATATAACAAAATAGAAAATTGAAAACAAATTTTAACAACATTTTCATAGTACTTATTACATACCAGCGGTTCATCTCATTCTCTATTCAATGCAACAAATTTGTTATTCGTTGAACCCACCGTATATTTATATTTATATTCCTAAATTGAGCAAGTAAATAAAAATGGAATTTCCCCGCATATCCTCAATGAATATACACGCATTTTTCCATACCCGTAGAAATAGTATTGCTTTTGCAATATTTTGAGATAGTTTTTGAACCGCTCAATTCCTCTAACTTTTGACTTTTCGCAGCGGTATTCAAAATATCCTTTTCCCCCGGCTAATCCAGTCTCATCCTCTTTCATCCCGGATTATCCCAACAGAAGTCAAGGGACACGGCCCGGCCCACTGTCTCAACCCTTTGATTAGAGCCCATATTTTCCGTGAGATTCTGGCAGGCAGAAAAGGACGGTACAAAGGGAAACAATTAACTGCGTCTACTGTTGCTAATTTCGTTAGATGGACAAACCTTTTTTGCATACAAACACAGCGACACGCCCACCGAAAACGCCCACGCGCCGTCGGGCGGCACAAGTGAAGGGATTAGAACGGTAAAGGATTCGCAGCCCTCGTGCTGGGATATAGGATACAGGGGGTTTCAGTTCGACTTCTTTCAGAACTGCTTTTGATAAATGCCGCAGGACATTTTTGGCCCTTGCTGGCTACCGTTTTTGCTTCGTGGGCTTGCTCTATTCCAAGAAATGTCAGCTAATTGTTTTTACCTTGCCAATTAGTAGGCCATTTAATGCCAAAACAACCCGAAGCCAAAACAAACAACTCCGAATCAAAAAGCTGAGTAGGCATCAATTCTCATTAAGTTTGAATTGGAAACAAATTCCAGGGGACAAAGGAGAGCGGGCCGCATAAATAAATCAATGTGCAGCCAAGGCCAGAGCCACAATTATGTGCAACAATGCACCTCAAGTGTGGCCCTCGGCAGGAATCAATCAAGTCTCATCACTCAAGTCGCAACTCCAGTCCTCCTCCCTTTTCTTGTGTGTTCCCTCTCCTTTCCGATTTAATTAATGCTTGGCCATTTATTAAATTGGCAGCTTAGTTGCCTTCACACACAACTGCGGTCAAAGTGATAGCAATAAACAAGGCTCTTGCCAATATACATAATATAAACCAAAAAAACGTTTACAACGTTTGCTTCCTTATTTAAAGTTTAGAACAATATGTCCTATTTTAATATTGGACATTCGTTATATCGATATATTTTAATGGTTAATCTTTTTTATACATAACTCTTTTGTTGGTAACCTAAATCTATATTTAAATCTCTTAAATGTCTTTTAGATTTTGGTATGTAAAATCAAATATAGAGTTTAATGTTTATATTTGTCGTACACCCTTTTAGTCAACTAAGACATATCAGTTATAAATATTAATATTATATTTATTTTTCTTAAAGCACTGTATGTTTATTTGGTTTATGAATTGCCAATATTGATGTAAAATTACGTGAAAATACCAAGTTTACAGCTAAAAATTAAAGTTATACATGTTTCAACTCGAGTGCTAATAACTTAACTCAGACTGTGGATCCACTCCTCCTCCAAGGATGCCTGCGGTTGGTCCACCGTGCCACTCCCCTCTGCTTGCGTGTTGGTTGCCTGCAACCGATCCAGCCTAATTTGTAACCATTAACCCATGTATTATGTTGGGCATGCGAGTGCCCAGGCGATGGATTGGCTCTTTGAAGCCGGACTGGGATATAAATGGCCAGATGAATGGCTGCGCTGAGTTTTGTCTATTAAAAATCATTTAGAACAAATGGTTGCCGGACTTGTGGTCTCCTCCAGTTGTAACCAGAAGGTGTGAGGTCGTTTCGTGGGGCTTAATGGATTAACGAATTTCCCAGAAACCTATTAATCTCGTAGGATTCTATGGCGGGAATCAAAGGGATAAACATCATTGTCTCAAAATGCCTCTGGTCTCCTTAATATAAAACATTTATTTGTATTGTTTATTTCTTTTAATATTCCCCCGTTTTATAAATTTTTGAAAATACTGTCCTTATTTGTTATTGTATATTTATATAAGCTTATCATTTGAATATTTCAATTAAAATGTTTAAATTTTCAAATTTTGGATCATCGACTTTCTAATATTGTTTAATTTGCGGGAATCCTAGTTCGGAAATTTAATAAAGATTCGATCTTAAAACTTTTGGAAATATTCTTATCTCAGGTACAATGAATATAAACAGCCTTTTTTAATTTTAAATATTAGACTATTCTCTTCTACTTAAAAACATATTTACTACAAATACTCGAACATACATTTTCACTGATAATACCTGTAAAGGAATTGGTTAATCGTGTTTTTGAATAACTAAATAATTCAAATTTTGAGCTCTTTGATATGAAAACAAACAAATGTGCAGGAACCATAAGTTGATTATTAAAAAATATGAAAACTATTTCTATATATTTAATGAAAAAACTTGAATTATTTATATTTAACCAAGAAAACCAATATCTGCAATAAAACCTGCCTTTATAAATCCAGCCTCCACAATAACTGTGCGCGGTGGGTCCTTTGCGAGGGCAAGTGACAAGTGAAGCTACCGTTGGTCATAATTACGAGTTCCCTTTTCAGGGCCTTTCTCCCTCTCTGAAGGACCCTGAAGTCCCTGTCAAAGTGTTAAATTATTCCCCTAACACGTGCTCATGCTCTCGTAATCACTTTGAGCTGCTAATTTCAACTTCGTGCCCCTCTTCGATGCCATCTCTTTGTTTTTCAGCCAGCTCCCTGGACAAGTTCTTGGGTCGTTCCGGTCTATAAGTAGGTCTTAATCCTTTTATCGCTGGGGAAGAGTGCGCGCAATTTCCAGTTTCGGGGCCCGAATCTCGAGTCCCGAGGAGCAGAGCTGATCATTTCGCAATGATAAATTAGCCGCTAAGAGTGTTTCCATGTACGCGCCCGACAATCCCAATCCACTGTCAGGGATCGGGGGTAGATTGATTATGTCCCCATGTCGGTGGACACTCTGCCGGTGACTTGGGTCATTGTCAACGCAGGCCACGCCTGACTAGCCAGCCACAATTCTCGATTCGCAATAGGACCTCGACCCACGGCGATTCGGGGGAAGTGAGCTAAGACCAGTTTATCGCACACACTCATCTGCGGAGGATCCCCACTCTGGGAGATGATTTCTTGTTGAACATATTTCCAGAAGCCAACAGGTGCCAATGGGCTGTGATCAATCATTGGCGAATCGATTTTTAATTAAGAACTCTTGTTAGCATTTGGCGACCTCGGCTCCTCTCCTTTGGCCAAGTTGATTGCCCACAAAGGCCTGTTGAATTCTTTAGCGCGAAAGTCCCAATCAAAAGGAGCTGAGGGGGTCCACTCGGCTTCAAGCGACTCTGAATTTGGCTACCCAGCAGCGTTTGGGCCATGATGTTTAAATTTGTCCTAATTAGTTGACAATGAGCGATGATGAATCAGCGGATTATAGTGGAGCTCACAAGTCTGCAAGTCTTCTACGGGGACTCGTGTAGGCGGGTTAAGAAACATATCTTTGCGACTATTGTTTAACTCATTCAGGAAATCATCGTTATTAAGTTTTTTTCAAAGTTTCATATGTTGGGACTGTTCATTAAAGTTATTTAATAAGAATTTTGTCTTAACCATCTAGAGCAACAAGAATTTGCTCGTGACACTATTTAACTCCTCTGTAGCACTTACCACTTATTACTTTTTAATTTAATTAAGCCTACCAAACCATCATAGTTTTAGATCCCATTTATAAATGTTTTTTATCAGTAAAAAATCAGCATTTTCATTTCCATATACAATATATTTTCTTTATTTTGATATATTTTTCACTTTTCAGTTTTACTTGTATTATTAAAATATAAGTACGAACTTACATACATCTAGAGACGCACAACAGATGCCAACTACATTCGTTAATAGTATTTATAGTTACCATAATTATACAAATAGGCAATTCTAGAGCTAAGTGTATGCCACTTAATAGCTATGACGAATCGTTCTAGGCTTTTTACAAACTCTTAAACCTGAATCCTAGGGTGCTTAAGTTAAACTCATATACAAACATTTGTGGGGAATCGAGAATACAACTTTATATAATAAGGGTCTTCTACCTAATGGTCGGTCCTTAACTAACTACGTTCACTGTATACTCCGATTTGTCTTTAACCTTGTCTTGGGTACAAGGCCATTGATTCGAAATGAAAAACAAAATTCTACAAATAAACTTTAAAAGAATAGGGATAGCTGCTAATTTACAATGCTGAAGTCATCTTGGAGATTTCCCTGCTGATTCTACAGGGCCGTCAGATCGTAATCCTGTTTGATGTGTAGCTGAAGATTGGTCATGAGATCGGATTGCTGTTGCTGCTGTTGTTGTTGTTGTTGCTGCTGATGGTGCCCATGCAGATTCGTGTGACCCATTGGATTGTTATTGTTATTGAGGTTGCTGTTGTTGTTGTTGTTATTGTTATTGCCGCTGCCATTGTGGTTGTTATTGCCGTGGTGCTGCTGAGATCCCGCATAAGAGTTGGCCGTCTCAGGTGCCGCCGGAATATAGGGCGGATTGCCCAGCGACGAGCTCACATCGCCAATACTTTCCAAACTATCTGAACGAATGCACTGCAACGAGAGGAGGAGAAGAAAAATGGTGACCGTTTAGTAGGTTACGAAATTAAGTAGTTAATTTGGACTAATCCTTTGGCCTATCGAACATTTTTAATTTAAAATTAACTTAAATTTCTTCTAACACAGCAAAATCGTACATATTATTAAATTATTATTTTTTTAAAATTAAATTTGATGGTAAGAAAGGATCCAAATATCTGATAATGTAAAGGATTTAAGAACTTAATTTTCAAATTGTTAGGTAGACATTTCTTTTAATTGAGTAAAACCTCGCTAACTATCAACATCAAAGCTAAATTCATTAAGTTATTCGAACTTTTAAAAAAATATTGTACATTAAAATTTAAAAGAATCCTTAGACAAGTATTAGACCTATCCAACAATGTTTTACTGAGCGGACATTTCAAAAATCTTCGACTTAGGTATTTTATTTCGAGTGTTATTTGAACTAAGGTGTAAAATATTAAGCTAATGTTTCTTAATAACATTAATTGACATAATACAAACAAAATGAGTTATAGCAAGTTTAGTATCAGTCAAAAAAATATAAGTAAAATTAAAGTATTGTTCACACTCAAATTCAGTTCAGAATTCAATTATTAATGAATTGCTCTTCCAGTTTAAGTAAAACGCTGTAGGGTAAAACCTTAACAAGCCTATGTTTTTCATTCAGTTATACCGAGCATGCGTGCTAAGTTCTAGTACTATACTTAATCAAGTATTATTTGCCTTCTTTAATGTAGCATATTATTTATTAATAATGAACACGCAGGATGCCAATTCTGGGGAGTAGATGGCCCTTAAGTGCCAGTTCCTGTTGACTTTCAACGCGCTCCACTCACCTCATTCATCACCGGGGTCTGCTGCGATTGCTGCTGCTGCGTCTGCTGCTGCTGCGACTGCTGTTGCTTCTTGGAGGCGGCCCGCTTGGAGGGCTTCTTGGCTACCGGTGTTGGGTTGCCGTTGGCGTCCACCGTCTTCTTGCGCACGTTCTTGGTGTTCGGCAGCTTGTTGTCCTTCTTCCACTTCATGCGCCTGTTCTGGAACCAGATCTTGATCTGCCGCTCCGACAGGACCAGCGTATGGGCGATCTCGATGCGCCGCCGACGCGTCAGGTAGCGGTTGTAGTGGAACTCCTTCTCCAGCTCCAGGATCTGGTGGCGCGTGTAGGCGGTGCGTTGGCGTTTCGGCTCCATTCCCGGCTGATATGACCCGTTCGCTACACAGAAATAAAAGGGAAGATCATTTTGATTAGTCAATATTAAAAAACAAGTTTTTACAAAGAAATAAATTTATATTTATTAATCTCTCGCATGGACAAAAGATAAATTTCAGTACATATACAAAGCCCGTTTTCTCGTTTTTAATAGAAAGCAACTTTTGGTTTTGAAACGAGACGATGTGTGAAAATTTCATTAGAAAACCCACTAGCTTACCATAAAAGCGAAGAAACCTGATTTCACATATTTATTTATTTAGTAATCCATTGCATAATTGATATTATTTTGTAATTTTTTTCTGCTAAAAACCCCATTTGATTAAAAAACGGAGAAATGTTTTTTGGAACACATTTTCTTTATGTATAGTTTCACAAGAAAAAAATAAGACTGCAAAGTGTTGGAATGAGAATAGTTTGTCTGAGATATGTTAAAGACAATACTCTGTTCAAAAACTGCAAAGATCTGTCTGTTCTTTCTGTGTAAAACTCGCAGAGAGAGAACGCAGGATTTGCATAATTAATGATCGGAGAGTTTAAGCAATATGAAAGGGTGGGGGAGGGGCACCACAATTAATACACTTCAAATTGCGTTTCATAACAGGCCAAGTTCTCAATAAATCTCCCAGATAAGTTGACAACCCTTAAAAAGCCCGCGCCAAAGTTTTTCTCGCTTTCACCTTGGAACTGGACAGGTCGCGGGGGAGGGAATGGTGCCTCGGGGGGAGGGGGTGGAGGCGGGTCAGAGGGTTAGCCAGCGGGCACATGAAAGAGTCGTGTCAGTTGGGCCCGGGATAATTAATCAAAATCAAATGGCGCGCAACTGCCAGGATGTCAGGGCTTGTCCTTGGGCCTCCCGAAAAATTACGCGGCCGCAGTTAGTTTTTCCGGCTGGGAAATTAAACACATCTGAGGGTTGCATCCTTCCGCCTTGGCTTTCCCTTTCCACTTTCTTACTCCGTTTTCTCCATTTTTATCGCCGCCAGATAAATGCCTCGCACCTGCCGTTCGTCGGAGATGGACATCCAAATTTATACACGCTCCATCAATTTCAATTTGCTGCCATCTCCGCTGATGTTTCTATCAGAGTTACAGTCCCTCGCACTTCCCGCCCGGGAGTTGTGCATTTATAAAAATTTCATTGCTCTGTGACAGACAGCTTTCGATTTGATAGAAATATTTCAATCCCAGCTCGGCCGGCCCGAAACTTAGATTAATGATATATGTCCAGCCAACCGTTGACAGGCCCCCAAACAGGGGAGTGGGGTTTACATTGGGCTGGGTGGTCCATCATAAAAAATGGACTAACATGGGTCCGGTCATTGCAGAAGTACAGAAGGGAACCAAACAGATGCGCCTAAGAGCTGCTGACAAGTTCTTATTTTTATTTTCTTGTGTCGGGGTGGCAGGGTAAAAGTTAAATCTTTTGAAGGTAGAGGGAAAAGAAGGACTATAAGAAACTCGAAGGTTGGCCATCTACTCCCGAAAAAAAAATTTGAACATTGAACTGACAAAATATACCAGAAAATACATTAGCATTAGAATACAAATAGTTGTAACTAATTTGAAATAATAAATCGGAATGAATTGTAATTTCATTTAAAAAATTATGGAAACAAAAGGCGAGGAAATAAAACTGACTTATTTCTATTAACAATGTTAAGATGTATTTAAAGTAAAAAACTATTTATCTATGAGGTAAGCGTTAGTTTACCCTAAGCATAACAAGTATAAAGGCAAAACAAATCAAACTGTTTGGTCAAAACATCTACCGAATTGCCTTAACACTTAATAATTATTCGACAAAATTTCGCTCAAATACTAACATGTAACACTAATCCATCAATTATTGATTCAGGTTGCGAGCGAAAACCCGAAAGAAAACATGAATCGAAAATTAAAAGGAAACCGAAAAGGGACGGCTCCGAAGCAGAACCGAGCCAACTGCAATATCAATTACAAAAACCCCAAAGGAGCAGGGAAATAAAACAGATAACGAAACAACACCGATTCCAATGTCAGCTGCTGCGTCAGCAGAGAAGTCGGCGCTGGCGTTGGCGTTGGCGGCATGCTGCGTTAATTCGTTTTTAATAAGTGCGTATCATTTCATTTCAACATTTCAACGAAACTGCCAGGCCCGCGAAGCGGAAGAACTTCAGCCTCAGTCCAGGCCAAAGGAAATCGCCGTGTCATGGCTTAAGGCGAAAAACGAAAAAGAGTGCCAATTGCATTTAAAACTGGCAAGAATGGCAGCCAATTTATGAAAATGCCGAATCATACAAGGCCAAGGAAATCAAGATTGCACAAGCCCCGGGGGAGACGTTCCTCGGAGGGGATTTTGGGTGGAAAAGTGCTAAAGAGCTGTGAAAAAGAAGGGAGACTGCAGTAAATTGGCGCCCGCAGGTGGACCCAGAGCGTAGGCAGCGGCCCTTCCCTTTCGATCCCACACTTTCGTTCTGGACTCTCCCGACTCAGGCTGTCGGCATGTTTGTCCCATCCAAAATTTTATATGATTTATCGTGCGTTTGTGACTCTACATTTTCATCCAGGCAGAGCGAGAGAGGGCGAATTAAAACTATGTCAGGCATTATTTCATAATCTGTTGTTGTCTGGCGGCCTCATTTGTGGGCTTAAGCCAAGCCGATTTTGAGGTGCGGTGGCCACCAGACAACTTCCGGGCTTCGATTCTTTTACTTCATTCATTTTGCATTCGATACGAGAAGATGCCTGAATATAAATGATTAATTGCCAGCCCGATAAACAGACAGTGTGTAAATATCTGTGGTTAATCCGAAAAAGAAATTTGACTCGTGCCAACCCGAAAAGACAACAAAAATTGTAATGAGAAATAGAAAGAAATCAACCAAAAATATTTAACGGCTGTCATAATTCATTTATATAAACATTCATCAAAAGCATTTATAGCAGGCGTGGAAAAAACGACTAAAAACCTGTTCATCTATAAGAGGAAATCGCATTTCGAATGCAACTAACAAATGGCAAGAAATTAATTTTCGGTCTGCACTAATGAATGCCCGAACGGAGATTGCGCATACGCCGCGTTATCCAGCTGGGTTCTAAGTTTAAAACTTTACTCGGAGCTCGGTGTTTTTTTTGTTTCTTATTTTTTTTATATTAAAGTGTGTGAGCTCATGGCAACAACAATAACAACAACGAGAAGAAGAAAAAAGGCAAGTCAACATTTCAACAACAGCGGGAGCTGCATCAGCAGCTTGTCAAGTGACTTGCAATTTGTGGCAGGCAAATAATAAAAATAAACATGAGCTCATGCTACTTACACATGTACGGGCAGAACACCCAAACCCTCGTATATATACAGTATAGTATATGGTATATATATGCGTACATATGTGAATAATCGTGTATCCAAAGTAAAGTACCCGCAGCACTTGAACTGGTTGCCACGCTGTGGGAGAATTGTTCTCCAACTCGAATTCTGTTAATTTAAACGCAAATACTTTGGGCGCTTTTCAATGACTTTAAGCCAAGTGCACAACTAAATGAAAAAATATGTTAATTTAAGTAGATTTGAAAGAGCTGCAGAAAACATTATTCTGCGTATGTATGTATGAACTAAGCGAAACTAAATAGAGAAGAGGAACTGAAGTGTTTCCTCGCTTCTGCATAAAAGCGTATAGCGTTAAAAATTAATTACATTAATTAATTTAAATTAACATTGCCTTAATAATGAGTTTTATACATTCTGTATTTATTTAGTTAATTATGTGGGGGTTGACAAAGAAAAAACGCATATTATTTATATTAAGAGCATCATATTAGTATTACAAAAATACCAGTTAAATTAAGTCCAAATTTCAAAGTTAAAGAAATCCATGGGTTTGTATGTTGTATAAATATTTGTTGGTGAAACTTAAGCTTTATACTTTGCTTATGCTATATTATTAAACACATCGTAAATATTTTTTTTTAATCTACGGTAACGTTTCTTGTAAAAGATATATATTTGTGAATGGTGGTGTCCAAAATATAAAATAATAATACATTATAAGTGCTTTCATTTTCAACTACATAGCTCACTCACAAAGTAATCTTTTTCCCATTTTAAAATATATTCGCTTCACTTTCGATTCTGGTAGTGAACAATAGGAGCAGCCAATCGAATGACCATCAGCAGTGTTATTCAACTAAGCCGAAAAGTCAGCACTTGTCCCAAGACGGAATCGTTTTGTTGTGCTAACGAAATGGAAATAGAATGGGTCCGTAAAATCAAGCGAAACCGAAACCGACTCCAAAGTGCAGAGTACCAGAAGAAAGACAAGACAAGCTAAGAAGCTCACGACTCACAAACAATGGAGAACGCGTAAGGCGACCTTGGAGCTTCGTTGCTTTCGAGACAAGAACCCACAAAAACCCCACAAAGTCTTATGTATATCTTTCATATATTTGTATTTCCACTCGGACAATGGACAGAGTGTGGCAGCAGCGATAAAAGCTCCGCTAATTAAAGCCAATTTCAATAATTTGCACAGCTCCAGAGAACTTTATTGGCGTAAATTGCCGAACCAAAACAGAGACGGCAATAAAGGGAGTGAAAGAGAGAGAGAGAGAGAGTGAGCGGCAGGGATCGCTAATTATGTTTTGTGAAGAATCCAGCTGAGACTCAGCTGTTCGTGCCCCATCTGTCATAAAGGCGAACTTCTTAATTTTTACTGCGTCATTTTCATCATTGTCATGCCCCGGGCCGCCGGTGATTACTCCCCTGATTCCTCGCCCCATACCACCCCCTTTCCCAGCCATCGCATTCGCTTTGCACTTTGGCAAAAGGCGCAGTGCCAGCTGAGTTTTTACAGCATCTGCGTCTGGGCCTCGTGTATCTGAATTTGTGCCTGTAAATGTATCTGTATCTGTATCTGCGGCTTGCACTTTTTTTTGCCCGCCTCAGAGGCTTTTCCGCAAGTCATCGGGTAACTGTGACTCCCAGGCAAAACTCTGCCCCGTAGTGGAAACTTAATCGTGGACTTGCCATTGAAATTCAGTTACAAGGCTGTTCACGTTCCACTGTTCATTGAAAGCGGCTATACTGTATCTCTATGGCTGTGTGTATCTCCCTGTATAAACACGAAACTTGTACGGCTTTTTAGCCACCTCATCTTAGGCCGCCGTCGTGCATGAAATCAATATTATTCAGTCGAGTCTTCTGTCAGAATTTATTTCGTTCAGTTTTAGTATTAGCATGTGGCACAAATTGTTTTCAATTAATTTGGTAAGGTTATCGGCTATTTTATTAAAGTATTGTCTTTAAAAAATGTTTGTGGTTTAATCAGAAAATTATATTGTTTACCTCTTCGACCAATTGTGTTTCTAAGCCTCCTTTATAAGAAACTTTCTGATTTTTGTTTCCCAAAACAATAAACTACAAATTTGAAAACTAGGTAATACAAATATTTTATTTCGCTAAAACCTATGTAAAGCAATAAAAAAATTATTTAGTATTTTATTTAAATTTTCTCAGAAATAAAATAACAATTTTTCCCAATGAGAATTGCCTACTCTTAAAACATCGGTACCAATTTAATCCTAAAGCTCAACCGGCTAAGAATACCAGGCAGATGAAAATCGACTTTTTTTTAATCTGTGGTACAAACTATTTTTCTTTCATCCATATTTTTTGTCTATTATTATACCCGTTACTCGTAGAGTAAAAGGGTATATTGTATTCGTGCAAAAGTATGTAACAGCTAGAAGGAAGCGTTTCCGACCCTATAAAGTATATATATTCTTGATCAGGGTCACTAGCCGAGTCGATATAGCCATGTCCGTCTGTCCGTCTGTCCGTCTGTCTGTCCGTCTGTCTGTCTGTCTGTCCGTATGAACGCTGAGATCTCGGAAACTATAAAAGCTAGAAGATTGGCATTTTGCATGCAGATTCTAGGAGTTCCTACGCAGCGCAAGTTTGTTTAAAAAGGTGCCACGCCCCCTTTAACGCCCACAATCGCTTATATACGATTTTAAAAATTTAAATATTTCGGAAAAGTAAAAATGCAGTTTTATTGTGTTTATCAATACCTATCGAAATGTAGAAGAAATTTTCCAAATCGGACCATTCGTTAAAAAGTTATGCGTGATTAAAGTTTCTATCTTCATCTCCCTCGCACTCCCTTTAGCTGAGTAACGGGTATCTGATAGTCGGGGCACCCGACTATAGCGTTCTCTCTTGTTTTTTGTATAAGGCTCTCCAAATCATAGCGAAATATTAAAAATGTATTTTTATGAGGTAAGAATATGAGTGTAAATATTGCAGTCCAGATAAATTGCCAGATGTTTATGGGTCTGGAAGATGTTTGCAAAGTTGCATGCAATTTTTAAAGCGCTTTTCTCAAAGCCAAGTTGTAAAAACGTTTTAATGTTAAGCCCAGTTTGAGGAGTTTAAACGATTTTAATAATATTTATTTTAATATTTTTCAATGTTTTAGTAGTATTTATCTTTTTAATTCACTTATTTACTCAAATAACATTTTTAACATTAAATAAATCAAAGAAAGCAATTGTAAATCATTTTATTTTCCTGCCAATCTTACTATATTATTAACTTGACCATTAAATAAATCCCGATTTCATTAACTTTTCACAGCCTTTCAACACTTTTAATGGCAACTATTAAATAATAAACAAAATTGCTCTCCAAATTCGTTTCACACCTAGCATCGCTCTTTCATTCGACGGAGGCACAAGTTTTGAACAAGTTTTAGGCTCGCCGCAGGGCAAAAAACAAAGTAAATTGAGCAAGGGACCACACGCCACATCGCGGGCATAGTTTTGGGCCATAGTTTCGGGCAAGTGCTAAGCGAGTGTAAGTCATTTGTTAAGGGAACAACATGACACCGGAGGGGGGTGGGGGTCCCGGGGTTACGGGTTTTGGGGCATAACGAGACGGATGCCGAGACGCGGGCTGAGATGATGCACTGGCGATAATCAAGTTTCGTCTTGTTCTCGTGGTCGTGCGCTCATGATAAATGTCACAACATTAACATCAAATGACACGGACCATCCGTCACTCAGTCGGAGTTTTACCTCGGAGGGGAGGGGGCATCGGAATCTGAATCTGAAGAGAAGTCGTATACCTTGCGACTGTGTCAAAAATGCCCCTGAGCGATCGTTTGGCTGTCTGTCCCACTGTCCGACGAACTACTTCGATTTTTCGTTTTTGATGTTTGATTTTAAATGCTACCACTCGAAGAAAAGTTCGGTAAAAAATTAAGAAAATATCTACGGCTCTTGTATATTGAACGTTCATTCACAAACAACTTTAAATAAAATGCTTATAAACACCTTTCAAAAAACCGGCTTTAGTTTAAAGACAATTTTATTAAGTCAAATCATAATTAAATTGTCCTAAGAAAGCTTACACAGAAAAAAACTTTTTTAAGAGCCCGTTTTTATTGTAGTCACTGGGTCATTTTAAAAAGTAAAAAAAATTAGGTAAATTAAAGTATTTTAAGCATTTTACAAGCTAGACAGAATAATTTTAAAAGTAAACGAATCTTTTATGAAAAGTTTACAAAAGGCTTACTTAATTTGCCAATATCACGGATATTATTTTAAAGAATAGTTTTTTAATTGCTCTGTTTTTTTACAGTGTAACGTCAAATCCCCAGTGAGACTAAAATCTGGAGTGGGTACTGGGAAACCGATGAACCGATGAGGCATTTGACAATGAGCGAGTCGGAGTGGCGTTAAGCGAAACGTTATAATTACCCATTTGGGTCAAGGTTATGGTCGAACTGGAGTACTACGACGCTGTGCTAATTAAAAAGCAATCTATCAGTTTTTTCTACATTCTCCCGATCCTCTAGTAAATGCATTCGTCACCTACTTGCCTCCCCGAGGCATCCCCAATTCCGCATTATTAAAACAATAAGCGGCGACAATCGCCAGTTGGCCGGTGGATATTGTTGGTAACACACTCGACACATGGCTGAATGAATTCCCCGTTTTGGGCGCGACAATTAAGGGTAATTATCTCTGCCAGGCCAACACTGTCAACTCAACTCAACGGTGTCCATTCAGTCGGTCTCTGGATCTGGTGAATGGAATGGAGTAGAAACCTGTTCGCCACGTCCGAGTTTACTCGATGTTGCATTCAGTTTTTGTGCCAAGAATAATGCGGCACCATATTCATAAAAGCTCTGATTGTTAGGCTTACAGAATGAAATTGTGTGAGTCATTTGGTTGAAAGTTGTGCTATTAGGGCTTTGGGAAAATCCATGGAAGTATATTGCAACATTGACACTTTTTATAGCAATAGCAAATGAAACAAGAGAGAACGCTATAGTCGGGTACCCCGACTATCAGATACCCGTTACTCAGGTAAAGGGAGTGCGAGGGAGATGGAGATAGAAACTTTGATCACGCATAACTTTTTAACGAATGGTCCGATTTGAAAAATTTCTTCTACATTTCGATAGGTATTGATAAACACAATAAAACTGCATTTTTACTTTTCCGAAATATTTAAATTTTTAAAATCGTATATAAGCGATTGTGGGCGTTAAAGGGGGCGTGGCACCTTTTTGAAACAAACTTGCGCTGCGTAGGAACTCCTAGAATCTGCATGCAGAATGCCAATCTTCTAGCTTTTATAGTTTCCGAGATCTCAGCGTTCATACGGACAGACAGACGAACAGACAGACGGACAGACAGACGGACAGACGGACATGGCTATATCGACTCGGCTAGTGACCCTGATCAAGAATATATATACTTTATAGGGTCGGAAACGCTTCTATCTAGCTGTTACATACTTTTGCACGAATACAATATACCCTTTTACTCTACGAGTAACGGGTATAAAAATAGTTGTAAAGGGCTTCGCTTTAAAATGTAAATAATTTGACATATTTCCATTTTCACATTCGATAAGAGTTTTTGAAAGTTAATTCATCGGCTTATACACAGAGAAAACTGAGCTCTTAAATTCGACGTTTAATGTGAGTAAGTAAAAACCAATTTTTCATTCATAATATAATATGAAGTTTTACTCAAAAACTAATTTGAGTTAAAACATTTTATAGGATTGTAAAACTGCAAAGCCCTACAATTTTATGAAAACTAATCAATACCGAGCATATTCCTGCACAATGGCATATTCAACTGTGAGCATTGCCCTTCCTTTTCTATTTAATGTAAGTCCTCATACGCAGCCCAGTACTGCATTCCCCCGATAACTGAATATGATATATCAATTGGCACCATAGCATTCAGCAGTCCAAGTTGACTTTAAGTCGACTTAAGTGCTGAAAGAACCGCTGAAGAGGCCTTATTACCAGGAGCCGCTGGAGTGCTGATTGCAGGCGAATGGAACACACTCGACGATATGTGCAATATACGAAGTTATATAGGAGCAGTATGTACAGGAAATTGTCATTTGGTGAACACGGTTCGCCCCCCGACACAAGGCGTGGCACTCTTGATTTTGATTAATGAGCGTGGAGTCGCAGTTTTTTTTTTCTGTTACCCGGTTGGTTGGTGTCTTTGGCTTTTATTTTGTTTATTTTCGTTTTGGTTTTCGCCAAAGAACGAACATTACAGGGGCCTGTCAGTGGATCAAGTGGGTGTTGGCAGCTAAGTAATTTAATTAGCATACCCCGAAAAATGGGCCACACCATGGGGGTGAAATGGGGAGAGAACGAGGGAAAGGGAATCTTTCAACTTACCCACTCCCGCCACATGGATCTTCTTCATCCAGGGGTAGATGATCCGTTCGCCATCGGTCGTCTCAGCCATCAGGTCATCTTCGCTGTCTGAGTCCCCGAGATCATCGTCGTTGTCGTTGGAGCCCAGTTCGTCTGGAGATCGATCCAGCATGAGCCGATCCTCCTCTGACATGTCGTCCTAAACAAGTCAATCGAAAGTTCGATTATTCGTTCTCTTGGGGAATATCTTTGTCAGTATATTTACATTTTCGGATCCCATATCATCACAGCGCAATCGCATCCCCAGCTCTTGCAATTGTTGTCCGGCAGGTACAGCTTCTTCAATGCGTTTCTCTAGTTTTAAACCTGTAGGGAACAAATATTGCTTTATTTCGGTTCAAAAAGATTAATTTTAAAGCAATAAAATACATATAGGAAAAGAAACTGATCGGCTTACATTTTTTCATACAAAATATAATATATTAAATTGTTATTGTTACATTAATTGTTATTATTATAAGAACGTCTAAAAGTATCGATGTAATATTTTAGTGGATTAAGCAGTGGATTAATGGGAAAGATTTGGGTGTTCAAACCCCCTTCCCAACACCCGGGGGCAAATTATAAAAAATACTTTACTAACAAATATGGTACATAAAATTTCCTGTGAACATGCACCCTAATACTGGTCACACTTGCTTGAAAACTTAAAATTTATAAATACAGTAAGCTCTTTGGTACCAGGACCTAATTTCATGAGATCATCTGCGCGTAAAGCCACATTTTAAAACAACTTTGTATTATTTTATGAATTGAACATTTTGTATGAATAAGATAGTTGCGTAATTCGAGTTTTAATGGGGATAAACTTAAAATATGATAAATGTAGTAATTGTTACCAACCAGTTAAAATGAATTCGTTAAAAACCATTGAAGTAGATTTTCCTACAAAATTGACTGTTAAGATCAATAGGAATACATCTACTCAATCGATTACAAATTCGGACTAAGAATACGAATGGACATTAAAATAAAGCTAAATATCTGTTCGTCAAATTGTAATCTTCAAGTAAATCATAAATGGTTCAATGTCAATAAGTGTTTGCTAAAATAGATTTTTTTTAGACCTCTAATAAAAGGATCTCCCATTTACTACCGACTCACCTAATTCCTGCAGTCCCAGGGCAGTATTCGTCGGGGGCTCCGTGGAGCTGCACTGCAATGGCAGGTCCATCATCTGGGAGTGCGGCGAGTGTCCTTGGGAGTGGGTGCTCCCTACGCTCCCGTTCGCGGCCCCGTAGCCCCCTCCGTATCCGCCGTAATATCCATTTGACGATCCACCCACAGCTCCGCCGCCAACCACTCCCCCGGTTCCGCCGCCACCACTGCCGTTGCTCGTGTTCGGGACATTTACCGCCGGACCGTAGCCGTTCGTGGGATCGGAGTGCACCGCTCCGGCGGATATGAACTCGGGGGCGTGGTGCACGTAGTAGCCGAGGCTCTGGTGCGGATGTGCGTGCGGATGTGAGGGCGGAGTGGCGGTGGCGTAATTCGAACTATAGCCGCCGGCAGATGGCTGGTGGTGTCCGGACAACGCGCTATTGCTGTGGTGGTGCGGCAGCGAGTGGGTGTGCGAATGGGAGTGGGTGTGCGGATTGTGATGGTGCGCCATATAGTCGCTGACCATGTCCGCCGGATGCATGGCATGCGGATGTCCCGCCATCCCAACTGCCCCACCACCACCACCCACTCCGCCAACACCTGTCACTCCGCCGCCGCCGACGGCACCGCTCATGTGCCCCGTGGAAGCGGTCATCGAGTAGTGGCCGTTGTAGTGGTGATAGTCGTCGGCCACCGGCGGGAACTTTGGGTCCAAGCTATTGCCCATGGACATGGGACTCTGGACATGATGTGGAGCATGCGGATAGCCCATGAGGAAAGAGCTCATGACGGGAGAGCTTTGGGATCGTGGTTCTCCAGACGGAATTTCTCTGCGGTTCGTTAATTTTTAGATATCTTCTTGGGCACTTTCACTCGGTTTTCACATATTCTGTAGCTTTTACTTTTAGTACAGTAATATTGGTTAGATGCACACCTTCTTATTGGTTGTAATTTATTTTAAGCTTGTTTTTTCAAATTTATTATCAGAAGATGCGTTAGTCTTCAGATTCTAGCCACATTTAAAAGACTTATTTTTGGTTTTGCATAACCTTTATCACCGCTTTTTCACTATTATTGTTTGTATAACTTTTGGACTTGATTTGCACTATATTTTTGGCACTTTTGTAAGCCTCGGAACCCTGGGATTCAAAGAAACTCTATTATTGCGCTATTTTTCGGTTATAAAAAACGGTTTTTATAAATTTAAAACACACACTGGGAGAAAAGTCGTACGCTTCGGTGTTACGAGTGCGCTGCGAACACGAACCGTTCCATTCGAGCCGATTTTTTGTTATGCTCGGTGGCGATAACTCTCCGCGCGAGCGAACCTGTTTCGCCACTCTTCGCTCACCCGTTCGCTCTCTCGCTCGCTCTCTCCCACCGCCATTGCCTTCAAAACGGGTTTTCACTGCGGCAACAATCGAAGGACGGCCCACACACACACACGCAACGCCATGGGTGGAGAGCCATACTTCCATACAAATCGCTGCCATATCTCTTCTCACCCTCTTCCTCGTCCGCCATTTTCCACCACCGAACGGCGCCCTCTCTCTGGCGTGCGACCGAGAGGGAAAGATGGGGGCCAGAGCGAGATGGCAGGATCTTTGGTCACACCCATTCAGACTCGCATGTACAGTGGGGGCATAGAATATTGAACCTGCTTATATATCATACCAACAGAAACTTGCTTCATAAGTTAGAAACCATTAAATTTATTAAGTATGGTAAGATTTTTACAGATAACTATATGTCTAAATCTTGAAAGGTTGGCCATGACCATAGTAAAAATTTTACGCAGTGATTAATATCTTAAATTATCAATTGAAGAGGTTCTGTTATAAAGAAGTGTTAAAATGGGTCATAGGGGGAAGAACATTGTATTTTATTAAATGGACCCTCGATTGGAGAACTATTTCCACAGGAGAAGAAAAAACTTCCAAATTGTCTGTTGAAATATTATTTTATAAGATGATTTGTTTAAAACAAAATGCAAATAATATTAAGTTGAGATGAATTCTACATTTGTTTACATAAGATAGCAGAGGCATCAGCCTCTATTTTAATAAAATATGTAGAAATTTTGGAAAATATCCAAATAAATAACATCATCCTATAATTATTCTAATTATAATTAAAATTATATTATAATTATTCCTTCATAGACATAATTTAAAAAAGAAAAAAGGTTATACATTATACTTTATGGCAAGGTAAACAAAAGGCAATAGTAAATCCTTCTTTAAATTCAACTATTTGTAAACCACCACTGTATTACTCAACTGTATGCATTGACCCAGCCGTGACTTTTCAACTCTCCCTCAGACACAAAATTTTGATTGTCTTTTTGCTTTGAGTGTGTTGGTGGCTCGGCAGTCATGGCGCACGCTCGAAAATTGGAGTCGGCGAAAAAGTCGTCTGGGCCCAAGAAGCACCGCCCATTTTCAGAGGGCTTTCATCGATCCCGGACAAGACATAAGTGTGGATATGGACCAGACCATTTATTTTCCACTTTCAGAAATAGGTTCCTATAGGAGCGAGTGGAGATGCAGCGAACTCTTGGATAACAACAGTATTGATCTTGAGAAGGGGGAAGAAACTTGGATGAAACCAGCTACCGAGTTGGAGAGTCTGGGCTGACTTGCAGTAATTTCAATTGAACGACCAACGAATATCACTTTGGCATAATGTTCTCCTATGTGATTATTGTTGTGGTTTCACTGGGGTTAAGGCTGTTATTGTTGTTATCATTACTACCGTGATTTTTCCTCAGATGTTGTTGTTACGCGATGACGGGCATATATTCAAATGAAGCAAACAAAACATGGAAAATCGATAGAATGATTGTTGTATAATGCAAGTCGAGAAGGTCGGACATTTAACGCTTTAATATTGTTTTTAGTAAATATTTAGACAGGCTTACATGAAACAAATTAAGATTAAAATGGATGAGTTAAAATCATACAAATGTTGGTACTTTTTTGAGTATCAACTGAAATATAATATAATAATAATATAATATATCTGTTCATAATATGATTATTTGCTAATATATTTTCTCTTGCAGTTGGCGACTAACCAATTTACAAATTTAAAACATTTTCAGGAGTTTAATATAAGTAAACTGTTTAATTCAACAGAATTGGAATGCCCTAACTCTTTCCTTTCAAAATACAAAGGAACATCAATTCGTGTCACACTTCTGGAGTGTGCTTCTGAAAGTGACTCTGGCTAATTGCCGAATAATTGAACCGCCCATAAACTCACCAAAATATCTTAACCCCCTCACAGTTGGGTCCACGTGCTCTACCACCTTCGCCATCAATTCCATATGTTAACGGGGAAAGGCAATATAGGAGGCATGGCCACTAATTAATCGACTTCCAACTGATTCGATTTTGATGGTCACCATCAAAACGTCATTAGGCCAGTTAAGTGTATAAAACTTAAATTTAGTCTGTGGTTCGTTGGCCAGGCTCATAGGTGTAAATGTTGGTTTAAGTCTTCATACCACGTTAAAGTGTTCGTATTAATTGACTAGCGAATGTTAACTAATTGGGATTGCATGTTGACTAATAGTATTGTGCGCCTCATTAAGCTTCTTTTGTTTACAAATAATTCCATTCGAGCTGTCAGATAATGTTTAAAGTTTCTTTACTTTTAACAGATAATACAAAATGAAGAAATGTTTTCGTTTGGAAGTATCTTCTGGGACACACCGGAAAATCTTAAAGTATATATTTTTTCGACATATTAAAACTTGTGTGATTTTGAACGTCTAATGTTCAGTCATTTATATCTCATTACTTTTTGATTGTTTTATTAAAATAGAGGACAATTTTCGGACAATTGAGAAGAATTTAAATAAAACAAAGTTAGGTCCTGATCCTCATCCCGATACACCGTCTTTTTATAATTTTATAATTTCGTTTGATTTGAACTACTATTACTGTTACTTTTTAAATATGACTTTACTATAATACTTTAATATTGCCTTGGCCTTTCACTTAAACATTTTCTTAAAGCATTAAAATTGCATCCTTTGCATGTTAGATTCCTCCTTGGCCAGTGCTCAAGGAACTTTTGAATTCAGTCGCGTTAGTGGCTGCTACATTGAATTTTCTCAGCCCTGACACAGCTCCTTAGGTGGATGGTTGGAATCTCGAGGTGGGTGGTGGCCCAAAAAAGACCACGGGTTCGGAGGGATGAGGGCTCGCTGAGAGCTTTGCGTCAGCAGGAGGGATGGGATGTGGATGTGGAACCGAAAGGATGGCACAGATGGGGGAAGTGTGTTTGTTTGTTGGTAGCGCTTGCTCTTTGTCCGGGGCATTTGAGTCCGAAATCCCAATTCAGATCCAGCAATCAGTTGCGACTGTCAGGCGGCGGCAGAAGGAAGTTCACTTGCTGCACGAGGCAACACACTGAAACGTGATTAATGATGTCGCATCCACATCCACCGAGGCACATTACGACCACCAATGCGAATATATATAGCGAACCACCATGCCTTGAGTATGGGATTTTACTTCTTTTCAGCTCGCTTCTTTAAGCCAGCCATCAAAAGTTTGTGATATAAAATTAAGAAGCCCGAGAGTGTGTGATCGAACAAAATTATTCAAAATGGGTGGAATCCACAGGCACTGATTAGTTGACTAATATTAGCAATTTGGAATATGCTAATCATGGGAATGGGTACACAAAGTGTTTTTTTGTCTTCAAGATTCTTTGTCTCTTCACTCATACAAAAAGCTTTTTAAAAATTATTTAGCCATAATCGAATATTTTGGGTATTAATTGTCAGGAACGCTTTACAAAACAAATGTTTCTTTGACCATGTCTTTGTGGAATCATTTTAGTCTTCGAATCAGCAACTCCTTAAAACCATTAAAAAGAATAGAAATTTATACTTATAAGAAGTATTTATATTAATTTGAATCTATTTATTTATTTATGTATTTCATCATTTTATTTCTTACAATTACAAAAGCGATATATTTAAATCAAACTTTTCTAATATAACATACTAATCAGAGGTTAAATTGTTATTTATTATAGTATAGGTTTTTTAATATACAATATTATAAAAGCATATATCCTGCAGTTTGGTGTTCTCTTAATATAAAACATAATACTAAGATAAGTTTTGGCCGACCTCATACATTGGCAACTTATTTTTAAACATTTCACAAAGTATAAAAATAACTGTTCGTTTCGGAATATCTTACTGCATAGATATTTTCCTCTTCTTTTTTTCTCTGCTTACATATTTAATTGGTTTTTACCTAATTAATTTATTTTTGGTTAAAGAAAGTCCGTATTTTGGTCATGGTCAACCATGAACTGCCTTCAGCTTACATAGCCAAGATAAATATTAAATTTAGATTAATTTTCATATTGACTAGAATCTCGAATTCTTTCCTTCTTGACACCCCCTTGAACCACCCATTTTTATTATACTGCACAGAGACAGCCTTCAGTTTGAGGCTGGAATTCCAATCAATCTGGTATGGAAATTGTGTTAACGACATGTTGACAAGTCGACGTAGATTCAGCCTAACCAGGGGAACTCTGGGGATAAGGAATGGGACTGGGGGAATCAGGGATGTTGATTAGCTCGAGACCCCAGCGAAAAGCTGGAGGTTCTTCCAGCGAAAACAACAGGACAATGAAGGCTGCCAGGAATCGTTTGCCAAATGATTGATTGAGTGATTAATGATTGACTGACTAGCGCACCGAACGCCTCTCGAGTGTGTGGCTCTCAGAATTAAAGCCAGTTTTGACTTTTATAGTCATTAAAGTCATATTTACAATACCAATCGAAAGTTTTGCATTTACCTTCTCACCTCCTCAGAGACCTGAAACAATTAAATGTGGTTCAAAACATTTCTGGCCATTTATCACCGGTCTCAACTGTTTACCTGTCATATTATGCCCAAATCGGGCCTAGATGAACATGAGCCCAAGTCCCGAGCGGAGATGAATGTTTAACGAAATTTACACTGCGGCTGTTTAAAATAATTACACGAATCACTTAAATGAGTCGAAGCCGAACGCTTGGGGGGTTATTCAAAAAAGCGGAGACTCGAACTGGACAGGCACCCATTACCATGACAGATTATCTCTGATTGATTTAATTTTGCTGCACAACTCACCATAATGGAGCCTCCGATGGGGACTCGGAATATATCGGCGATATCTGCTGCATGTGGACCAGACTAAAGCTTCGGGCCAAAAGCAAACCATCGATCGCCTTTTGCCGCCAATTGGTTGAAAAAGA